AATCTCATGATGTTTCTATTTTGATTTTCTCATAATTCCGTCTCTCTTAAACCTTTTATCCCTTGCAGTGACAAGCATCTAATTTCTCCTAACATTACCACCTCTGAATCAAACATTAAGGTCATGAGAATAAAGGAAATGATCTCAAAATCAAGAAGCTCTTGACTGTTAGACAAATTCTCTTAGTAGGCATCATAAGAAATGTATAGAGAACAGTATGGATAACTTGCATAATGTCGTTGGGTTGTAAGAGTTTATCCAGCAAAAAATGCTCTCTGTTTTGTGTTTCAGCCACTTCAAGCATCAGTGGTAAAGTGGCGAGAGGATGGTGTACTTTTGGTTGAACTCTTCCAATCTGATGGCCCGAGTCTCAATGTTCAGTTATTGAAAATGCAGGGGATTCAGTTAGATGAGTCATTATGCTCTCTTTTCTGTGCAAATTTCAAATCGCAAGGATCTGATACCTCTAGTTTGTCATCTGGGGAAAGCATCAACAGTCATCACATCACAAGTAATTCAATTAGAGTGATTTTCTTTCATTGTGTGTATAAATGACGTACTTTAATCTGGAATTCTAACTTGCAAAGCAAGACTTATGTTTACATTCTGGCAAAAATTTTTCCCTGTTGTCAGCTCTATCATCAGACATAACTTTGCAAATTGTATCTCAGATGGTTGACAACTGTAGAGAAGAGGAGTTAAATTTTTAAATAAACTGTGCTGCTGTATTGCTGGGTGGGTGGGGGGGGGGGACAGTACAAGGTAATTTGGTTCTATTTACTGACTTGATAGTGTAAATTGGCTGCTGTGAAGAGTTTCTAAAGCTGATGTCTCAAATGTTAACCATACTTCAGAGTCTGTCAGCATCGTACATGGAAAGAGAACTAAGGAAAAATAGGAACATATTGCATGATTTGAATTTAACAGTCACTGTATAGGTATTTTGTCACTTGGAGTACTTTGTGAGAAAAAAAGTTATCATTGCCATAAACCCTTTGATAACATTTTCTTCTTGATTTTATGGCACTGTTGAAGATCAAGTGCCATTTCATCTTGGAGATTATAGGAGTTTGGTTGCAGTTTGGACAGATGAGAAGATCCATTGAAATCTTGAATTTTAGGAATGCTAATGAACTCTTTTTTCATTATAATAGTGGTTATTTTTCTTGGAAAATTATGTTATACACATGCTTACAGTTTTTGCGAATTGTTTTTGTTATTTTTGACAGGTCATCAAGTTTCAAGATGGCCAACACAAGAGAAGACAGTGGATCACAATGCTGATAACCAATCTGTCCATTCAGATTGGGAAGAAAGCCCAACAGGGACAGAACCAGACTGGATGGACACTGTGTCTGTACCTGGGAGTCACAACGGTACGACTGGTAGACAGTCTTTAGACAATCTGTACCTGCCTCCACCTCCTGAGAGGCACCAGCCTTATTCATGGGGTCTAACCAGTGGTGTGCCTCATGGTTCACGCTCCCCTTCAGCATCCTCATCAGCAAGCAATGAATCTCTTGAGGTACGTCTTTATCACTCAGGAGGGTCCTCCTCCAGCCTTTCCAGGGAAAGACAGCTGCTGTCTTACTCAGGATCAGGATCAGGATCAGAGGGTAGTGATGTACAAGTACACTCAAGTGCTAAGACCTGGCAAAGTGCTATGCAGGAGATGGAAGGTAAAGAACAATTTAATCAGGAAGATCCACAAACGTGTAGGCAGGAAAGAGAAGAACTGATCCAAAAGGAGAACAACCTGAAAAGGACCTTGGAATTGCCGCGAGCTGAGATGATAAAAATGCTGAGTTTGAACCAGGAAAAGGAAAAGCTAGAGAGAAAAATCAGGTAAAATCAAACAGAAGTACCAAGTCTAATAATCTATTCCCACAGAAGTATCTAAGTACCTTGTCTAAATGTCTCTAACTGAGTTTGGGGCCCTCACTATAAGTTACAGACCAAGTTTTTTTGCTTGGGTTTATGGCCGTAGTGCTAAGGATGCCAGAAATCTGGGGGGATAAAACAAGGTTCCATAAATTAAAACAGTCACCTACAAATCAAGGTTAGTAGGTCATTCATTATATGTCTTGGTTCAAATAGAGGGGGAGATTTCATCAAAATATAAAAGTTTTGATTTTATTGGGAAGTACAGCAAAATATGACCTACTTAAGTGAATGATTTTGGCTCTCACGCTAGCTGAGGGATGTAGTAAAATATTGTACAAAGGCCAACTAATCAAGGGTTAGGGTGTAGTAGAAAACTCCCTTGGTGTACCTTTGTATTTTTTCATTAATGCTATGAAGAATCAATTTAGACCACATACACCTATGATGCTTTAAGTGGTGAAGTAACTAATTATCATTTATTTATTATTTTTTTGCAGGATTAAAGGACTTGAAAACCAAATCCTAAAACTAAGTAAAGAACTGAAGCAACTTGAACTTGAAAAAGGAGTACTTGAGGAGGAACTTGGAAGGAGTTGAAGAAAAACATGTGTTTCTCTGTTTATTGCCAATACCGAGTAATCTTGGTTGATTATAAAATCAATGTTTTAACTCAATGGATCTTAACAAAGCATGGAAGAATCTGAAACTTACTGTCCAAGCTGGGCTTATGTTGAGGCACCTAAAGCTGTTTCTGTTGCCAGTGGGGTTAACAAAGAACTTGGAATTTTTTTTTTGTAATAAACTGGAAGCATTGTTCTTTAATCTTAAGTACCTTTACAATAGGCTTTGGAATAAAGACTCAACATTGCAACTACTATCCTCTCTGTTGTGTTAAAGGGATTTCTTTTCCATGAAAGGTTGACCAGTCTTTCAGATTGCTTCCTCCAGCGATGTGTGTGATGTGAATTTGTTTGATATATTCTCTCAAAGCCATAAAGTGAGTAAGTTACAAACAAAGAAGTTTAAATGGGCTTTAGCTGTCAACATGCACTGGTTCTGGCCAGCGAGGTGTTGTTACTTTGCTCTAGCATGAGCCACCCTCTGGTCAGGTTCGAGTAAAAGTGGATGACATAGAAAAATGGTAAAAAAAAGCTGTATTTGGGTGAATATTTTGTGTTTAACCACTGGAAATAGTTACAGTAGCCACAGATAACATGGCTGTCATGTAAATGGCGAAAAAAATGAGGAAGTTTCTCAATTTCAAAGGCTGATTATTGGTCAAAAGTACACAAAAAGTGATGATAGGACCTTACATTTATCAATTTTACTTTTGAATGGTATTTCACCCTGTCTGTCTGTCATTCTGTTCACTGGAGATATGTATGGGGAAGGGAACATGAATTGGAATTGATTTGCATTGGGTATTTTATGCTAACCTCTTAAAAAGGGGATTATTTAATCAAAGCCACTGAAAAGGCCAGGTTTACTTAAAGTTGTGGTCTGGGCCAGTGAGTTTGAAATGCAAGTAAACCAACTATGGTTTATGGGTGTACAAAAACTGTTTCCATGGTTATTGGTCATACTTATGAGAACTTGACTTTGAAGGCTCACTGTTGTGATGAAGTGAAAGAAAATGTTGAATTTAATTACAGGTCATCTTGCAGGGTTTTCTTTAAGGTTTTAAGTAGCCGGAGCTTTTTTAAAGGTAAGCGGTTGTGGGTCTCGAAATCCAATATGGCGGACAATACGTCATATCGTTCGTACTTTCCTACCACCGCAGCAAGATTTGTTAAAAAGAGGGTCCTCATCAGAACGTTTTTAAACTAACCTTGAGTCAGAAAAGACAGGCAGTGCAAATTTATATTTTTATTGAGCCCAAGTTTAGACCTGATAAACATCATCTCTGTATGGGCTCTCAAAGCCATGAAAGTAGCCCGCAAAACCTTGCAGAGAAGCTGGTGTACTTCGCCGGCTGCCGGCTCTTATCTACAACCCTGATCTTGATGTTGTTTTGAATACATAATTTTTCATGATATCAATGTGTTTTTCTTGTAGAGAAGCACAATGAAATATTACCAGCATTAAATATTTAACAATTACAGAGAATTATTTGGTGAAATTCTGCACAGCCCCATACTACATTATGCATTCAGTTCTTGGATAGAGAAAACAATGACAAAAACTATACATTGCCCATGGGAAAACAGATTTGTTTTATAATAGTATGGGGCTGTGTGGAAATTTTACCAATTATTTTAATACATTGTTTGTTGTTGAAACCCTGAGGGCTTGTATACCTGTCGCATCGTTAGTTTAACAGCGATACAGATCCTTTTCAGAAATGATCTTATACAATTCGAGAAAATGTACAATTAAGGAATTTACAACACTCCTTTGGTACTCGGTATATCAGTTCCTTCTCTTTTAAATGCAGTTCGCAGAGCTAGGGCTAGGGCTTTAAAAGCAGACTCCGCCCTATGATGATCATTTTCACCTTTTAAAACGTCCACGTGTAACGTAATGGCTGCTGAAGTAGCAAAGGAACTCAAAAAATGTGGTAGCATTTCGCAGGACAGGTTCCCTATCCGCTCCCTCTGCAAATTCAAGTTGACGTCGGCAAAGGGTCGTCCGGATATGTCCACAACAGCTCGAGAAAGCGACTCGTCTAAAGGAGCATAGGCATAGCCATACCTCGTTATACCTCTTAAATCACCAAGCGCTGCTTTCACTGCTTGGCCCAGAACAATACCACAGTCCTCGACTGAATGATGATCGTCCACGTGAAGATCACCTTTGCAGCTCAAAGTGAGATCCATTCGCCCGTGTTTCGACAAAGCGGTTAACATATGGTCCAGAAATCCAATGCCAGTACTTATCTCGCTTACCCCACTTCCATCTATGTTGACCGACAAAGAAATGTCTGTTTCTTTTGTTTTTCTTTCGACAGTCGCTCTTCTAAGTTTGAGCGAACCTTCATCCGCCATTTTGAAAATTGCACGATTCGAGGAGACTGGTTACTAGAGTCTAGTCTTTTCATTTTGTTATATTCAGCACGATATCGAGGCGATTTGGTGTTGGGTCTTTGGTAGTCATGACAACAGGAGGGAATAGCAACCGAAGCGCCAACTCAGCTGCTGTAGTCTACATAATTGTTGTATATTGGCGTTATCTCGAGTCGCTTGAGAGGAATAATTCACCGTCAATATGATGGTTCAACATGTCCGAAGGTGTAGGGAGTTTACAGGGCCTACCCCTCATTCTGTGGCTATCGTAAGTAATGATATCTCTACCATTTTAAAGGCGTAACCGTGCATTTCATGTCAGGGCCATTTTGTCTACTTAGTTCCTCGGGACCTATGACACACTAAGGTCATATTTTTACTCTGCGTTTTATAGAAAGATGCTGCTAAAATGTCTAATTTTTGATAATTAAAAATCTCCTCATGAATGTCGATCTTACGGGGAACAAATGGCTTAATTCTTGATGCTGTGTGTGTTGTAGAGAGCTAAACCGACAAGCAAAAGACCTGTGGAACATCTTATCCTTGAAACAAGAAGAAAAGATGAACTAAGGGAGCAAGCAATAGCTGAAACCAAATACCAGAAAAGTTGTGATCTAAAGGTAAGTTGTATTTCATCATCGGATTATGAACATGTATGGCGACAATTTGAAACTTGATGTCGAACAAATGCTGTGCTCTTTTTAAATTTCCAAACCTTTAGCAATATTATAACTCCTCCACATATTTACTATAGACTGAATTTGTTTGCTATTACATGTAGATGTAATTTCCTCTTTATTCCTTTTATCGCTGTAGTCGGAATGGGAAAAAGCCACAGATAAAAGAATAAAGAGCAATACGATTGCTAGAAGGGTTGAAAAGTTAATGCAAAGAGGAACTTTTAGCTTGGAGGATAGAAGAGAAAGGTGAGAATTAACTAAAGTGTTAGCTTTCATGGACCCTTTTTATTTTTATTTGATTTCCAAGGTAGACAGTAGTAAATTGATAAATTGCCATTATGCTGTTGAAGCCTAAAATTTTTTCAGGCTTCCTTTCTGCAATTTGTATGATTGCAGTCCAACTCTGAGGATCAATTTTATCGCTTGATAATGCTGATTGCAAAGCATTAGCGAAAAATTTCTTTCAGATAGTAATTTAAACATCCCCTAACAGTATAAATGCATCTCACATTTACATCTTATGCTAGAGGTGTTATTTTCAATCATCCTTTCTTTCCAAAGTTCTTTGTTTTATTGAAAGTGATTTACTCCAAGCTGTAAATGTGCTAGAACCTTTGGTCAAAAATTTATTAATTTTGTAGTGCTCTTTTAAATAAATTTTGTTTCCTTTAGATTGAAAGAAATGCTGTTGGCTGAAGAGCAACAGTACATAGAAGAAATGGAAGCAAAAGAAGAAACAACTCTTGAGAGGCAGGCAAAGATGAGAGAAAGAGCCAAGTTTTTAAAAGAGAAAAGAGAACAAGAAAGGCTGAAACTTGTGGATGAAAAGCTTGATCAGAGATGGAGGTACTTACTCAGTTCATGAATCATAAGATTGCATCATAAACTAAAGGGTTGATTGCATGAACTCATAGTTAGTTACTCATCAAAGTTTCATAGGATTCTTTGGTCATTTAGACTCAAGATGCAGTCAAAGAGACAATAGAGATTTTACTGTAAAATTTGATCCTAAACAACAGTGCCCGCACCTTACTTCAAAACTAAAAAAAATACCCTACCTCTATGGAAATCAAGGAAAGTGATAATTCATGTTATAGGAGATTAGCCCAAAGATTGTTGCTTCTTGCTTAGTGATTTTATAAATTTGAATGAGCTCCATTTATGAAAATCCTTTTTATCTATCATCTTAATTTGTAATGTGTCTGGATTTTCAGAGATAATTGCGAGGAACTCCGCTCAACTTTAAGTCAGCGTCATCAAGATGAAGTTTTTGTGGAACGCCATGAACAATTGAAAATGAAAGAGGAGAAAAAGAAGAAGGAATTAGAAGTAGATAAATTTTATGCCGACTTGTGGGCAGAAGACATTCAGATTAAAAGTATGAGAGAAGAGCAAACTGCAAGGGAACAGATGGAAAGGAACAGAGAAACTTTAAAAGTAAGTTGTTTTTGGGTCTAGCATAAAGTGTTTATTTTCACCAAATGGATAGAGAGTTTATCTAATTTTCATCTTTATGGATGTTTGAATATTTCAGGTTCTACAAGTTCAGATTGCAGCCTGTGAGAAACAGCGGGAAGATGAAGAGAAACTGAAGGAGATGGAGGCACAATGGTTGAAGGAAGAAGCTAAGCTAAGAGCAGAGGAGGAAAAATGGCTACAGGAAGAAAAGCTTCGCAAGCAGAAGGCAGCTAAAAGATCAAGAGAGGTGTCCATCAGACTCAAGAAGGAAAAAGAGGTTGGTTCACATCTATGTATGTATTTAAATATTACATTGTGTCATACAAATACAATTAGTAATAAGTACAATTAGACAAGTCTGTGTTGCAGTCTTTAAATTAACTGCAAATTATATTAATTTTGTAGACTGAATGGTTAATTGTATAATGGCTGTAAAAATTGAACTGTCTATATACAGCCATTGGCGTCATTTGTCTGGTAAAAAGTGCATCAGGTTATATATAAACTGTACTGTAATATGTAGTTTTAAAGGAAATGGTTTTCACTACAAAGGTTCCCCATGCCCTCTGTAAGCTGTTTATTGATTTTTTTTTACTCGTTTTCTTTAGGCCAAAGAGAAGCAAGAAGAACTTGCACTGGACATGAAAATATTAGAAAAACTTTTGGATGATACAAGAAATGAAGTGAAAGAAGAAACACAGAGAAAGGTGAACACACGTGATGATTCTCATTCATTGAACCAAGCGTCTTCCTCTCATACTGTAGCTTTTTATTGCACTATTGAATGGGTTTAATCTGGATATTACCTCAATGTAGGCAAAGTACTCAGTGATTCTAATGAATTTATTTTAAACAGCGTGAAATGCGTGAAGAGAATTTACGTTTCATGCAGTACTGTGCAATGAACCGTAAAGAGGACGAAGAGAGAGAGAAGGAACTGGAGCGCATCGTAAATGAGGAGGTGGAAAAGAAATGGGCGCAAACCATAAAGCAATACAAAATGGAGAGAGATGCACGCCAGAAACTCTTGGCCAATGTCATGAAATCAAGGGAACAACAAATTGAGGAAAGAAGTAAGTTGGAAAATCAAGAGCACAATCTTATACATTTAGTGTTAGTAGCTACGAGTAGCACCTGGTGTAGTATATTAGACTATCATTATCAAGGTAAAGGCCAACTCGCTGGTAGTGTCGTAGTCCTTTGCGTTAGTGGTCTAGTATATGGCCAATATTGCCCTTGGTATGGGGTTTTATTGTAGAGCCGAATCTTTAAGTTCTAAGCTCGTGAGAACCTGTTCTTAAGGAGAAACACCACTGTATTATGTGGCATTTTTGTGAAGTGCAAGACTTCTTCTATCTTGAACGAGACTGTAATTTACTATTTCAGTGAAACAGAACAGAAAATAGACAATAAGAAGCTAGATAGAAACAAATAGGACGCAGGATGAACTTTAAAGCGAATTGCAGCCGCCGAACTTAGCCTTAAAAGTGATCTGTTCTTCGAAACATATTTCAAGTGATCTGTGACTACTTAGGGAACAATCGTTTAAGAACCCTTTTAAATCCCAGTCATTGCACTTGTTTTTCTCAGAACGGATTGCTGAAAAGGAACAAGAAGCTGAAATAGCAGAAAGGGATGCACTCTTGGCAGCGATTGAAGAGCACAAGCGATTGGAAGCAGATAATCAAGAGAGAATAAAGAACAGAAATATTGGTTATCAACGGGACCTTGATATGCAAATTGACTATCAACGCAGAGTCAAAGCTAAGGAAATAGAAGAGGAAGAAAGAGAATTCAGAATGGGACAGGTCAGTAATTAGTGTGATCGTGTGCAGATGTGACAAATACTGAACATGATTATTGTCTTGACGTTCAATGACGTTTCGAGAACTGTCTCAGAAAGTCATCATAAGATTCGCCGAATTAAGCATAATCTATGGTCTGAAATTTTTGAGAAAAGAGTTAAAAGAAAGCAAGGAAGTAAATGGTGTATCAATTGTTACTGTGATCTCATGGATTATGTGTACACTGGCCCGTGACACGTCGATTAAGGGCTGTCCATTTTCATTTTGGTGATTCGCACATTTAGGGAAAAATAACAATTAAATAAAAAAATAGAGGTGTTAAAGTTTCACAAAAACTCGACTTCTGTGGGGAACCTGTAGGAGTGACATCAAACAAAGGAGAAAAGATCAGAGAAGGCTGACGATTGTTTATTTTACTTGATACAGGAAGCAGAAGCAGAATATCAGAGGAAGCTAAAAGAAGCCCTCGACAGACCAACCATTGATAAAGTGCACCCCATGAGAATCATGGGAACAGCACTGAGAAGCAAATCCAACTGAGAGAATCTTCGCCTTCTTTATATTTGAAGATTGAGAAAATATTGTTGAAGCTTGTTCACGAAACCTAAATGCAGATATGTAGTGAATTGTACGGCTAAAACTAGATACCACCTTTTATTCTCTGTACTGAATTTATTGATACTGTAAATAGAGATAAATAATAGTTGAGTGGACTTCGTTACATGTACAGTTCGAACTAATCTACGAAATGACAATACCATCGTTCTAGGCCTTCGTTAAGATTTTTAGTCAAAGGTTGTGACTAAACTGTGTTACATATGAAAATTAAATGGTTCTTTTTTGGTGTAAATAAAATATTTTTGGGTGATCCAGAGCTTGTTGCAAAAACTTTTTTGGAAGCCTAACCTCCGCATTTAAAACTTCTTGGCATTTGGAGATTTGAATGAAGCAATAGAAAAAGCATTATCACAATGGTAACTATTTATCTTAAAGGAGTGCTCGAGCAAAGATCGGAAATTCACGTCATTTACTTCGCAGAATTAACTGTCTAGCGGTGTTACTTAACTCAGAGAGAGGTATCATTGTTAAGTAGAATGTGACCGAATGAATGGCCATGCGCCCCTTTTTCAGCTGAACTTCACTTTTGACAAGTCGGAAATGTCACAAAAGGAAAATATTCCAAAAGCTGAAGAACATAGTGTACCCTCTTTTACATTCTGCAGTGTAGTGGCAGTTCTACGGGTCACTTCAGTATGTAGATCAGTCGTAAATTTGCATTTGATACCAATTTTTTGCGACATCTTTTTTTCAATGCTCACTTGACTTGGTCGCATCTATAACAACTTGCCTTTTGACAGTAAAGACATGTAGTACCATTTATGACAGCTTATTTTGCCCCTCCAAACTTTTTAAGTTAAATCCTATAGGAAGTCCTTTTAAGGCAGGTGAAAAAAGAAACTTCCCCCTATGGGATGAACTATCATTTTCATCCCGGCGGTACTTTTTACTAAAAGATACAGAAACTGAAAAAGTTATATTCCCACTTTTCCTTAGTTTCGTCCAAAAGAATTCGCCCTGGCTTTGGAACTAGAGAAGGAGAAGCGTGAAGTTCATGAAGGCTGCAGGGTCCGAGAACTTTGTAAGATACTCTACGGTGGCCATATTCCCACAGAACCTTCTTTTTTTTTTTTTTTTTTTTTCAAGAGGTTTTTTTTCGGTATTAGTGCATTTAAAGGATTGATAAAATGATAACAGCGCATTTGCGAGTATATACTGATTTCCGCAATTTCTTCTTTACGACCCGAGCGAAACGGACAGCGCATGAAAACAAAAATACTTGGGCGCGAATTTTGTTCGAGAGAAATTCCAAATTTGTAATATAGTCTCGAGTTTCACCGTGCAAATGAAACAGAATCAAATCTAACCGACCGATTCAGGAAAAAGGTTTTAGTTCGATCTAAATCAATAGTTTTTCACCCTGCACCATTTCGTTGAAGCAGGAGAGGATAAAGTGTCACTGGTGAACGTTATCGACGGTTTTTTTTTGTGGGGGGTCATCATTATCACCCTACGTTTAATGAAGAACTGGGTTATCAGCGCCAGCTTTTTGGCAAGTAAACGAGAAACGACAAATGGCATTCTTGTTCACACAAGCATTTAGCGATCGCCTTCAGCGGCATGACTGATTTCAGGTCACCGCGCCATCTACAAAGAAAGGTGACAAATCCGAAGCTTGACTCTTTTCCTGAGTGTGTGATTTTTCATCCTTTTAAGAGAGTGTCTCTGTAAGAGCGGTCCGGTCCATAGCTAGGAAGTAGGTGCCATAGAAAAGATAACTACAGAAAAAAACTTTGCGGCCCGACCTTTACGAGAACTTTATAACTCCGTGAACTTACCTAATTTTCGGCAATCTCCAAGTTTGGCCGCCATTTTGAGGGACTTGTCAACATGAAGCGTAACCGATATAAATCAAGCAGGTAAATCTAAAACCGTCAGAAATACATACGAAAACAATTCAAATGAACTTTACTTTCAATTCAAGCGGCAAAATTTGAAATTGTTCGTTAAACTTACAATCCTCATGCGACCATTTCTTTCAAAAATTCAAACACTACAACTAGTGTTCGAATTCCCCTCGCCGATTCCACCGCAAGAAATAACCTGTGCCACCCAAGCTTCGACTCGAACATGAAGTACGAATCAAGTAACATAACTGCTTCATCTTCGCGGCAATATCACGCTGGTATTTTGATTTTCCGATCGACAAAACGGTGATCAGGAATCGATCGGTTTGTTTACCTGTTAAACGTGACCGCTAGCGCGGGGTGGGGTGGTTGGCGGGCTTATCGTCATAAGATAATCGAATGCATGCTCAAAAAGCTCTAGGACTATCAGTCTAAACAGTGAAGGCATG